GTGACGAATGCTACGAGCTGCTTTTCTAAAACTGCCGTCTTATTTCATTTTTCAGAACTATTTCATTTTATGTATGTATTATTATTTTTAATTTTCTACAGGACATATGCACTCACCCGAGTGAGACAAGAGAGAGAAAGAAAAGGAAAGTGAAAAAGCAAGTCCCAGTCCCGGGGCCAACCACAGCAGGCCATGTGGGAGGCCTGCGTCTTAACTACCACGCCTGCTGACCCCGGGCCATTTCGTTTTTAGTGGCCAGCTGCAGTGGCAGGAGTGACAGGGTGTTGCAGTGCCAGGCCAGGGCCACGTGGGACTCTGGGGTTTGGACCCCAGACCAGCCTGAACACGCCGGGGGGAACGGCAGCTCATGCCAGCAACCCCAGGTGGACAGCCACTGTGACGGGGTCGAAAATAGCCCTCGGGCCAGCAGGTGGCATGGTGGCTAAGGCACTGGACTCCCCCGTGGCCGACCACAGTCTGAGTTCTGGACCCAGCAGCTTGAAAATCATGCTGGGTATGTGTGCGTGTGTGCCCAAACCCTGAGAGGAGAACAGAGAAGAAAGGACTGCAGCGTGGCCCTCTCCCGGGAGATGACTTCTCACTTTCCTTCCCTTTCTCCCCAGTAAGCACACATGCCCAATTCGGCAAAGAGAACCAACCAAAACAACCCTCTTTCCTTCTCCCCCTCTTCCGCATCCCCTCCGAAAGCAGAGCAGCAAATAACCAGGTCTGAGCGGTCACACAAGGTTGGCTGTTTTTTCAAGGGAAAACAAGGGTGTTTGTGAAAGTGGCTGGGCAGCTGGTGGCATGGTGTTTGAGGCGGCTGGACCGCGCATGCCCGACCGTGCGTCTACAGTCTCAGAGCCAGCTGCTCTAGCAGCACTCCGAGGGCCAGCTGGGTCCCACGTGGGCAAGTGCACGAAGAGGGTCCCAGATCCAGCAGCTTTAAAACGCCCAGAAACCACCAGAGGAGGATGGAGGACAGGGGCTGGAGCATGGCTATTCCCCGAGTGTGGTTTCTCACTCCCTCCCCCCACGGCGCTAGCAGGTGCACACACCCTAAAACAAATTCAAACAAACAATGCCATGTGCGTGAGTGCCTCACATCCTGCGGCAGAGAAGGGACGGCAGCATGAGCGGTGCCCAGGGGCTGCTTTCTGGTGTGCTCTCCCTCTCCCTCCGTCCCTCTCCCCACTCACACAAGCCCTCTGGCAAGACAAGCAAGCATGCAAGGTGCTGCAAGGAGGCTGATTCGGAGCCAGCTCAGCCGTATCAGCAGTGCCCAGGACGGCGAGCTCTCTGTGTAGCCAAGGGGCCATCGGCGTGTACCCCCTTCGTCACCCAGACAGACACATTTAGGGTTTACCAACATTTATATTTTGTACACCCCTGTTACTGACCACCTGACACTCCTGTACCCCTGTTACTGACCCCCTGACACTCCCGTACCCCCGTTACTGACCCCCTGACACTCCCGTACCCCCGTTACTGACCCCCTGACACTCCCGTACCCCCGTTACTGACCCCCTGACACTCCCGTACCCCCGTTACTGACCCCCTGACACTCCCGTACCCCCGTTACTGACCCCCTGACACTCCCGTACCCCCGTTACTGACCCCCTGACACTCCCGTACCCCCGTTACTGACCCCCTGACACTCCCGTACCCCCGTTACTGACCCCCTGACACTCCCGTACCCCCGTTACTGACCCCCTGACACTCCCGTACCCCCGTTACTGACCCCCTGACACTCCCGTACCCCCGTTACTGACCCCCTGACACTCCCGTACCCCCGTTACTGACCCCCTGACACTCCCGTACCCCCGTTACTGACCCCCTGACACTCCCGTACCCCCGTTACTGACCCCCTGACACTCCCGTACCCCCGTTACTGACCCCCTGACACTCCCGTACCCCCGTTACTGACCCCCTGACACTCCCGTACCCCCGTTACTGACCCCCTGACACTCCCGTACCCCCGTTACTGACCCCCTGACACTCCCGTACCCCCGTTACTGACCCCCTGACACTCCCGTACCCCCGTTACTGACCCCCTGACACTCCTGTACCCGTTACTGACCACCTGACACTCCCGTACCCCTGTTACTGAACACCTGACACTCCCGTACCCCTGTTACTGACACCCGACACTCCCGTACCCCTGTTACTGACCACCTGACACTCCTGTACCCCTGTTAATGTCCACCTGACACTCCTGTACTCCTGTTAATGTCCCCCTGACGCTCCTGTACTCCTGTTAATGTCCCCCTGACGCTCCTGTACTCCTGTTAATGTCCCCCTGACGCTCCTGTACTCCTGTTAATGTCCCCCTGACGCTCCTGTACTCCTGTTAATGTCCCCCTGACGCTCCTGTACTCCTGTTAATGTCCCCCTGACGCTCCTGTACTCCTGTTAATGTCCCCCTGACGCTCCTGTACTCCTGTTAATGTCCCCCTGACGCTCCTGTACTCCTGTTAATGTCCCCCTGACGCTCCTGTACTCCTGTTAATGTCCCCCTGACGCTCCTGTACTCCTGTTAATGTCCCCCTGACGCTCCTGTACTCCTGTTAATGTCCCCCTGACGCTCCTGTACTCCTGTTAATGTCCCCCTGACGCTCCTGTACTCCTGTTAATGTCCCCCTGACGCTCCTGTACTCCTGTTAATGTCCCCCTGACGCTCCTGTACTCCTGTTAATGTCCCCCTGACGCTCCTGTACTCCTGTTAATGTCCACCTGACGCTCCTGTACACCTGCTACTGACCACCTGACACTCCTGTACCCCTGTTAATGTCCACCTGACACTCCTGTACTCCTGTTAATGTCCACCTGACGCTCCTGTACTCCTGTTAATGACCATCGGACGGGTCCTGTACCCCTGTTACTGTCAGCTCAGCTCTATGGCAGCAGCAATTCTTTTTAGGGTGCCACAGGTGTGCACACTTGCTGGACAGAGAGAGGGAAAGTGAGATAGCACCCTCTATGGGGCGGCGATAATGCAATTCCTTTTCCGTTTTCCTCTTGGGATTTTGGCCCCATACACACATGTCCCTGGCATGATTTTCAAGCCAGCAGGTCTGGGACCTGAACCACAGTCAGCCATACAGGAGCCCAAGGCCTTAGCAACCACAACATCTGCTTGCCCTTTTATTTTATTTTATCTTTTTTAGTTTTTTTGCCATAGGACATGGACACTTGCTGGAGAGAGACAGACTAAGAAATCACCCCTGGAGGGATGGCCATGCCTTAATTCCTTCTCCTCCCCTCTCCTCTCCAGATTTTGGGCATATATACACACACACCTGGAGCAGTCCTGAGGCTGCCAGGTCTAGGACTTGAACCACAGTCGGACATGTGGGAATCTAGTGCCTTAACCACCACACCACCTGCTGGCCCACAAATTTTTATTTTACTAATTTACTAATTGCCCAATACTACTACTAACAAAAGTTATTTCTAAATTATTTTAAAATTAAAAATATTTTTTTTTCTTTTTGAGGAGGTTTATGCTACAAGGCACATGCGCTCACCAGAGAGACAGAAAGCGAGAAATGACCCCCCAGGGAGGCTGGCCACTGCAAACCCTTCTCCTCCATTCTCCTCTTGGGATCTTGGGCACGCACACACACGTGCCTGGTGTGAGTTTCAGCCACGGGGCCCTGGACTCTAACCACGGTCGACTACGTGGGAGCCCAGCCACATAGCCATTACTCCAACTGCTGTCCCCCAAAAACATTTTGTGATAACAGTTTTAACAAATTATCTCAGCACTTCTCTCCAGCACTCGGTGTGCGTGTGCACAATATATGCTCAGCTTAGAACCGCAGCCAGAGCATACATAAGAGGTTCAAGGCATTCCAAGGCAACACGCTGCCCTCAGGCAACAATCGCCAGCCGGGTGCGCTAGGATTCAGAGGTTGCAGACAGCAGGGTCAGGGAGGCACAGGCCTGGGGAAAGCAAGCTTGGGCAGTGCTCTTGGCCAGGGTGACCCCTGAGCGGAGTGACTGAAGACCGCAGGCTCTCAGTAGGGTCTCAGAACTGAGGCACTGCACCGTGAGGGAAGTGAGCCACCCAGAGCGGGGCTCGCCGAATTAAAGGTCTTACATGATGCACCCCAATCAACGTGACCCTATTGGACTCTCCCCAGGGAAAGAAAAGGGCTCAGCAGCTGACGCTCACTCGCTGCCTCTCTGGCACCTTCTCAACCAGCGTGGGTCTCCGAGGAGGGTGACGTGCCAGAGCCTGGAGACCCAGCTCTGCCAGGGTAACCCCGGGCACCAGTGGTCCGGCTCACGCCGACAGCTGAGGGCCTGTAACACTGGCTATAAGTCACTCAAGGATGTGTGGATGGCGCCAGGGACAGACCGCCCTGGCCTTGGCTGTTGGCGGGCACATGCCGGATGGTTAGTTTGTGCCAGCAGCCGTGTCGCCACATCAATGCTTCATACAGGGCCTCTCTAGGCCCAGCTGTCACCTGGTCCTCCAAGGTAACGGTCTATCCAACACCTAGGGGCCTGGGCCAAGTCACCTGAGGTCACCGGGCAGAGCCAAAGTTCTGCTGGCTCAGGTTCCCAGCTGCTATGAGGGGACACTCCCCATGTCACCGCCCATTTTCACAAGAAGCAGCAGCGTGGGCAGTAATTTCGATAAAATACCTTCCGGGGTTTCATGGGCCCCCGAAATACGTCCAGAAACACCGACCTAAGTTAAAAGTGGGCTCTATGCGTCTCGGCATCGCGGTTCACCACTGGGGCTGAAAGGCAAGGGACTAATAGGAGCCACGTTTATTAAGTGCCAACCCTGCGGGCATCGTCCCACCCCACTCAGCCCCTTCTATGGCACAAAGAGAAAACAGGGTCGGAGGGAGACGATCGGCCCAGCGTCCGGCGGTGGAGGGGCCGGTCTCACGCTCGCTCCCTCCCGCCTGCTCCGGCAGATGCTAGGCTGATCCCAGGTCCAACACAGAACACCACAGACACGAATGAACCACAGGGACAGTCACCTGTACGACTTATGCAGCTCCGTGACCTTCTCTTCAAGCTCCTTGGTCTGGTTCGGGGCCAGTTTAAAGTCGCTAACGTAATCCACGCCATGGAGTTCCGGATCGTAGTCTCCCAGCTCAGACTGGACGGTGTAAGAACCCAGCAATGCCAAGGTTGCAAAGGAACAGGGCAGCCGGCCTGCAACTATGTCCTGCCGAAGCTGGAGGCATAGATAGTATCTAGACCCAAAGGAGAAAAGAGGGCGTGGCGTCAGCAGCAGCCGCTGCAGAGCGGGCATGGGGTAGACAAGAGAGGGAACACAAGCTCGCAGTAAAACAGGCCGATCAGGCCTCCAGGTGGCATGGTGGTTAAGGTGCTGGACCCCTAGATGTCCGAACACGGTTCGAATTCTGGAACTAGTGGCTTACTTCCTCACATTCCTACTTTCTCTGTCTCTATTTCTGGTCAGGTTAAAAAATATTAACAATAATGGGACCAGAAGATGGTGTAGTGGTTACGTCACTGGACTCCCATGTAGTCGACTATGGTTTGAGTCCTGGACCCGGCTACTTGAAACTCACGCCGGGCGCAGATGCGTGCATGCCCAAGATCCCGAGAGGAGAATGGAGGAGAAGGGATTGCGGCATGGCCATCCCCTCTAGGGGGTGATTTCTCACTTTCTGTCTCTCTATGTCTGTCTGGTGAGTGCACATGCCCTACAGCAAATACCTCTCTCTGAAAATAAATTAATAAATTAATTAAATTAATTAAATAAGTAATTCTTTAAAAATTAAAAGAACTGGCCAATCACGGAGGAGGGCATGTGGCCGCTGTCTGCACTATGACTTCTCCCTTTCTGTTATCCAGACACTTCTATAAAAATAAAGAAACAAACTGTAACTATGTCGGTCTCATAGTTAGAAAGCAGTTTAGAAAGGAAAAAAAATTGAGAAAATATGGATTTTAAAAATTAGCGATTTTGTTGAATGTACTGAGAACTACAAGTCCACGAACTGTCACTGACTCATCACCAGAAGCACTCGTGAGGCGTCACCTCTGCCAGCCTGCAGGGGGCAGACTCCCAGGGCCTCGGTCCGTACAGCGGCGGTTCCCAGCACGCTGCTGTCCTTGCTGCCCGAGGTGCCGTCACTATCAGTCAGCCAGAAGATTCTGGCGCTTCTCCAAGACAGGCTAAGTTGCCTCCCAGGGCCAATCAGCCACCCTCGCCTGCCTCGGGACTCCGATTGCCGCGAGAGCGTCCAGCCCGACAGCCACGCATGGCCCTGACCTCAGCACACTCCGGCCCACCGAAGCCACAGGCCAGGGTGACTGAAGGACAGCGCCTGGGCAGAGCAGACCCGTCTCTGCTCTGACATGAGGAGCTGAGGGTGTCCTAGCAGTGGCCCTTGCTACCCAGCATCACCCCGTGCAGGTGGCCCCTGGAGACTGCAGGGCTCACGGTCACCGATTCGACCAACCACAGATCAAATACGTTAGGGGACCTGGCTGTGGCTGCCCATTACCCTGCGACCGCACAGCAGCTAGCTGCAAGGCCTCCCGCGTGGCCGAGATAGCCTGGAGGTGCTGCAGCACACAGGGCACGCCACGAGAGGCATGTCGGCCGATGACGCCGGGCCCACAGGACGGGAACGGGCGACCTGTCGGCCACCCCACCCGTCACGTTCACGCAGACACGTGAGATCGCCCGGCACGCTGCGCTCACGGCTGCACGTGCGCCTGGACGCCGCAGCTCTGGGGCCCAGGGTCTCGGGACCAAGCCCCGTGGCTGCTGAGGATGACCAAATGCACACGAGAGAAGAGATTTTCGGGGTGGCTAGGTGGTGGCTCTGACAGACAGACAGACAGCACCTGGGAAAGGAAGTGCCAGAACGACCCTGTGGGGCAGAGGCTCGGCATCGTGGTTTCAAAAATGCACGAAGGAGAGTTAGTGATCTGCCTAAGATGGTTTAGATTTCCATGGGGCTTAGTAATCGCATTTTTAAGAGTTTATCCTCTTATTTGAAGGAGGTAGAACCTGAGGCCTACAGATTATCATTTTGCCTGAAATCAGACAGTTCACAGAAAACCAGAACCGGAAACCAGTTCCTGCTG